TATGCTGTTCCCGCCTCATCTAGGCTTGGATGGAATGGTTTCTTTGACTTAATCACTTGGGAAATGAAGATTAGATTACATTAATTAGGTTATAGCCCTGGGGTTGGTCGTGCTACCCTAGAGTTTAGGAGTGAGGTCCATCCCACCCAGATGGAATTTCTGCCATATGATGGGAGAGGCAGTGGGATGGATGCCAAAGAAATAAAATATGCACTGCAGATGTGAACAATTTAAAGAAGAAAAAAGCCCAACAAATTATCAATTAGCATATGAAAAGATGCTAGCTAGTAATCAGGCATATGCAAATTAAGACAATGAGATACTTTTCACCCATGAAATTGACAAAAATTTAAGTTTTATAATATCCAGATCCAATGAGATACAGAGAAAAGGGTGCTCCAATATATTGTCGGTGGGAATCTAAATTGGTATGTCCTTTTTGGAGGACAACTTCGTAGTCGCTATTAAAATTTTAAATGTACATGCTTTCATCCCCCGAATCCAATTTCTAAGTATCTAAATATCTAACATAGGGAAACATGATCAGTATTTGCACAAAAAAGCATGTGCAAGGATATTCGATAACAAACATTTCTAAGCAGCCTTAAATTCATTAATAGTCCTGTGGTTAAAGAAAGCATGTTAAATACATACTATGGGCCAGGCACAGTGGCTCACGACTGCAATCCCAGCACTTTGGGAGGTCAAGGCAGGTGGATCACTTGAGGTCAGGAGTTTGAGACCAGCCTGGCCAATATGGTGAAACCTCATCTCTACTAATAATACAAAAATTAGCCGGGTGTATTGGTGGCTGCCTGTAATCCCAGCTACTCAGGAAGCTGAGGCAGAAGAATTGCTTGAACCCAGTAGGCTGAGGTTCCAGTGAGCCAAGATCATGCACTGCACTTCAGCATAGACGACAGAGCCAGACTTTATCTCAAAAAAAATAAAATAAAGTAATATGGAATATGATGCAGTAGTTATACAAAACCAAGTAGATCAATTTGTAGTGACATGAAAAGCGCTCTAAGACATATTTTAAATTGAAACAAAACAAAACCCAAGTTACATCTTGCCTCAAACTGCTATGGCTGCCATAACAAAATACCACAGTCCAGTAGCTTAAACAACAAAAATGTATTTTCTCACAGTTCTGGAGGCTACAAGTCTAAGATTAAAGTGTCAGCATGGTTGGTTTCTTCTGAGACACAAATTGCTGTTTTCTCACTGTGTCCTCACATGGCCTCTTCTCTGGGCATGTATATATATCTCAGATGTCTCTTCCTTTTCCAATAAGGGCTCCAGTTCTATTGGATCAGGGCCCCACCCCAATGACCTCATTTAACCTTAGTTACCTCTTTTTTTTTTTTTTTTTAAGATGGAGTCTGGCTCTGTCGACCAGGCTGGAGTACAGTGGGCTGATCTCCACTCATTGCAACCTCCACCTCCCAGGTTCAAGTAATTCTGCCTCAGCCTCCGGAGTAGCTGGAACTACAGGTGTGCGCCACCATGCCTTGCTAATTTTTGTATTTTTAGTAGAGATGGGGTTTCACCATGTTGGCCAGGCTGGTCTCAAACTCCTGACCTCCAGTGATCCACCTGCCTCAGCCTCCCAAAATGCTGGAACTATAGGCATGAGCCACCTCACTCAGCCTTAAGTGCCTCTTTAAATGCCCTGTCGCCGGGCGCGGTGGCTCAAGCCTGTAATCCCAGCACTTTGGGAGGCCGAGGCGGGTGGATCACAAGGTCAAGGGATCGAGACCATCCTAGTCAACATGGTGAAACCCCGTCTCTACTCAAAATACAAAAAATTAGCTGGGCATGGTGGCGCGTGCCTGTAATCCCAGCTACTCGGGAGGCTGAGGCAGGAGAATTGCCTGAACTCAGGAGGCGGAGGTTTCGGTGAGCCGAGATCGCGCCATTGCACTCCATCCAGCCTGGGCAACAACAGCGAAACTCCGTCTCAAAAAATAAAGGCCCTGTCTCCAGATATATTCACATTGAGGGTTAGGGTTAGGGTTTTGTTTTGTTTTGAGACGGAGTTTCGCTGTTGTTACCCAGACTGGAGTGCAATGGCGCGATCTCGGCTCACCGCAACCTCCGCCTCCTGGGTTCAGGCAATTCTCCTGCCTCAGCCTCCCGAGTAGCTGGGATTACAGGCACGCGCCACCATGCCCAGCTAATTTTTGTATTTTTAGTAGAGACGGGGTTTCACCTTGTTGACCAGGATGGTCTCAATCCCTTGACCTTGTGATCCACCTGCCTCGGCCTCCCAAAGTGCTGGGATTATAGGCGTGAGCCACCGCACCTGGCTAGGGTTAGGGTTTTAATACGTGAATTTGGGGGTGACACAATTCAGTCCATAGTACATATAGGTATGTATGTGTGTGTCTCATTTCTATAAATAAACCAAGGACACAAACCAAGTTATACATTTCAAATATACATATTCTAGATTTATATTGATATGTTAATATTATATGTTCTATGTATCACACATATATATAGCACATTTATATATGTATGTTATATATTGTACATTAGGCATAATTGTATGTATGCAAACATCTCAGAAGCACACTCAGCAACTTGATATGGTAATATGCTCTAGGGAGGAGGGTGAGATTGAGTGAGGATGATGGGGGCTTTATGTTATTTTTCTGAGTGAGGCTTTATGTTATGTTTTTGTTTGAAACATTTTTTACATCAAACCTTATATACAAATACTGTGCCATACATCAAAAAGTACAAAACAGAAACTTGCCTAAGGATACACAGCCCTTCCAAGCCAGAGCCTGGACCTGCAATTGTCAAAGACACAGTTCATTCCATTCTTTCCTGTTCACACTGACTTTACCTTTTTTCCAACAGCCCCTACCCACCGCCCTGGTTATTGTGAATCTCTCACTTTTTCTTCATCACCAAGTATCTTGAAATATCACACTTGCCTGTCCTTCCTCACGCCCAGAGTCTCACTCTGTTGCCCAGGCTGGAGTGCGGTCCTGTGATTTCGACTCACTGCAACGTCCATCTCCCGGTTTCAAATGATTCTGCTGCCTCAGCCTACCAAGTAGCTGGGACTACAGGCGCCCACCACCATGCCCGGCTAATTTTTATATTTTTGTAGAGACAGGTTTTCACCATGTTGGCCAGGCTGGTCTAGAACTCCTGATCTCAGGTGATCCACCCGCCCTGGCCTCCCAATGTGTTGGGATTACAGGCATGAGCCACCTTGCCTGGCCTTCACTTACTTTTCTGACATTTCCTACCATTCTTCTAAATACACCCACTACGTGTTTTTCAACCCTTTAATATGCTTTTCACACACTACTAATGTTTTAGCTGGAATTCCAATATATCTAGAGTTGCCAGATGAATATAAAACACCTAAAGTTGAATTTCACATAAACAACAAATGACTTTTGGTTTATATATTTCCAATTTAACTGGATAGGCTGGGCACGGTGGCTCATGCCTGTAATCCCAGTAACTTGGGAATCCAAGGCAGGCAGATTGCTTGAGCTCAGGAGTTTGAGACCAGTCTGGGCAATGTGGCGAAACCTTGTCTCTACAAAAAATACAAAATTTAACCAGATGTGGTTGTATACACCTGTGGTCCCAGTTACTTGGGAGGCTGAGGTGGAAGGATGGCTTGAGCCCAGGTTGACGTTGCAGTGAGCCGTGATTGCACCACTGCACCCCAGCTAGAATGGCAGACCAAGACCCTAACTGGATGTCCATATTTTTATTTGCTAAATCTGGCAACGCTATTCCCACTTTGTATCTCTAATACAGTTAGCACTTTCTGTTTTATGTAATTGTTACTTGTGTTCACACAAGTAGTTCTGCAGGCAGCTGGGCACGGTGGCTCACCTGAGGTCGGGAGTTTAAGACCAGTCTCACTAACATGGAGAAACCCCATTTCTACTAAAAATAGAAAATTAGCCGGGCATAGTGGTGCATGCCTGTAATCCCAGCTACTCGGAAGGCTGAGGCAGGAGAATCGCTTAAACCTGTGAGGCAGAGGCTGTGGTGAGCCGAGACTGGGCCATTGCACTCCAACCTGGGCAGCAAGAGCAAAACTCTGCCTCAAAAAAAAAAAAAAAAAAAAATTCTGCAGGCAGGCAGAATATAGGGGTCTTTCTTTGTATCATCCATAAGGTTGGACACACAGCAGTAGTTTCCCAGGAAGTATTTGCTGAACTCAATGATATAATGTTTTATAAGGATACAGGAAAATTGCTCCTCTCATTCCTTACCTGATTCCCACCTCCAGCAGTTGTTCTTGATTTTTACTAACTAGGTATTAGTTACCTAATCCAAGTCCTTTTAAATTAGAACTCCAGGAGCATAGACTTGTACCAGTTCAAATGGGCTAACTGAAATATAGAGTCTAGTGTGGGTAATCTCCTAAGGGTTCTAGCCTTGGCTCTCCCATTGACTAATGGTATAATATTAGTCCAGTTATTTCATCTTTTCAAGCGTCAGCTTTTCATCTATAAAATAGTAACAAGAAATGCCTTATAGGTGCTCATAATTAAATCCGATAATCCATGTCAAGCACTTAGCATATAGTAATATCTTTTTTTTAAGCATATAGTAATATCTCAATGTATGCTAATTATTAGCATATTGAATCTTGGGAGCTTTCCACTTATCAATTTGGTTAATTTGGTCAAAAAATGTTTGTTGCAGTTTTTATGTGCATTAGCAGGGAACTGTGCTGATGATGGAAACAGTGACAGGTAAAATAGGCTTGTGCCTGTTCTCAAAGCTCTATCTAGCTCATATATAGCCAATAGGTTAAAAAAAGAACAAATATATAATTATAAACTGTAAAATGTTCCACGAAGGGAAATACTGGGGGCTGTAAGAATTTATAAAAAGGGCCCTGAGATAGCTCAGGAAGAGCTTCCTTGAGAAATGATAAATGGCATTAATTGAACACTCACCATATGCCAGTGTATTCATTTGCTAGGGCTGCCAATTACAAAGTACCACAGACTCAATGCCCTAAACAACAGAAATTTATTATCTCACAATTCTGGAGGCTAGAATTCCACGATCAAGCTGTTTGTACCTTGAGGTCTCTCTCCTTGGTTTGTAGATGGCTGTCTTCTCCCTGTGTCTTCACATGGTCTTCCCTCTATACCTGTGTCCATATTTCCTCTTATTAGGACACCAATAGCATTGGATTAAGGCCCACCCTTAATCCAATTCTACTAACAGTACAAAAATTAGCAGGGCATGGTGGTGGGCGCCTGTAATCCCAGCTATTCAGGAGGCTGAGTCCGGAGAACCACTTGTACCTGGGAGGTGGAGGCTGCAGTGATCCTAGAACAATGGGAAGCCACTGAAGGATCACACTACCTGCTTAATAGAGTACCAACTGAAAAACATTCAGAGACCTTACTGCTTTTTTTCACAGATGAGGAACCTGAGAGTTGTCACGATATTTGCAGAGTTGGCCTCCTGCAAGTGTGAACTATTTAAAAAAGGGGTATATACTTGAAAGGTACATAAAAAGCCGGGCACAGTGGCTCAGGCCTATAATCCCAGCACTTTGGGAGGCTGAAGCAGGCGGATCATCTGAGGTTGGGAGTTCAAGACCAGCCTGGCCAGCATGGTGAAACCCCATTTCTTTCTTTTTTTATTTAAGTCCCAAGAGAAGTGAAACCCCATTTCTACTAAAAATACAAAAATTAGCCAGGCATGGCAGGCACCTATAATCCCAGCTACTCAGGAAGCTGAGGCAGGAGAACTGCTTGAACCTGTGAGGCAGAGGTTGCAGTGAGCCAAGATCGCACCCTTGCACTCCAGCCTGAGCAACAAAGTGAGACTCTGTCTCAAAAAAATAAATTAGCCAGGTGTGGTGGCACAAGCCTGTAATTCCAATTACTCTGGAGGCTGAGGCAGGAGAATCACTTAAACCCAAGAAGTGGAGGTTGTGGTGAGCGGAGATTGTGCCACTGCGCTCCAGCCTGGGTGACAGAGTAAGTTTAAAAAAAAAAAGTAAAAAAGAAAGGTAAGTTTGTGAGCTCTATGCTATGCTGGACTCCCCAAAGGGAATAGGAAAGTTGAGAATTTCAATTCTGCCCTTGGACAAAGGTTTAATCTTGGTCTGTTGCTTGGGCTGCCTGAAATGGAGAAATTGCAATTCAGCAGGCATTGTCAACCTGAAATAATCAAAAGGATCAGAATCCAGTTTAAAAGAGTTATTGAAATGCAAAGCTGAGGATAGCCATCCGGGAAACACAGAATCCAAAGGAATGGGGTCAGTGCTCTGAAGCTGAAAAGTTAAGGTCTTATTTATATAGATAGAAAGCAAAGAAATTTAACAGGAGTACAAATTTCCATACAAGGCTGGTTTATGAGTTACAGCAATCTGCCCCCTCACCTTTTTTTTTTTTTTCCAATTTAAAGAGTGTATTTAACATTCCATCCTAGAGAGTAGGCTAGTCGTGAGGTGTCTGTGTAAGAAAAGTGGGAAGTTCATCTGTAATGATCAATAGTTAAGAGGGAAGGGGTCTTCTCTGGCTTCCTTGTTTTTGTTTTTGAGATGGAGTTTCGCTCTTGTTGCCCAGGCTGGAGTGCAATGTCACGATCTTGGCTCACTGCAACCTCCATTCTCTGGCATCCTCTCGTCTTTTACATTTTACAAAACAATGTAGGAAAGAAAGGCTAAGCTATAATCAGAGAAACAAAGACAGCTGCCTGTTATGTGGCTCAGGTTTCATAAAGACATTCACTTAAGGTATAAAATAATTTAAAGTTCCAACAGCTTTGGTTTTTGAATTACTTTCACAGCATTAAAGCTGTGATCAAAGAGTAAGAGCCAGTGGCTTTGCCTAGCATGTTTTAACACCTTTATTGACATATTTGCATACAGTATCATTCACCCGTCTTTTTTTTTTAACATAATGGGCTGATATTTAATATAGTATTTCTCATCAGGAGGATGTTACTCAGTTAATATAAAGTTTTTCTTTTTTTTTCTTTGCCAAATTCCAAATTGTCAAGCAACTGGGAAGTTTTTCACTTAATATTAAATCTCTTTTCCATGTCAATGTCTATTTTTTTTAACATTTTTTTTTTCTGCATTTCAGTATTAGATACACTGAACACATTTTTCTAAACGTTTTTCCCCCAGCAATAAAAGTTTCCCTTTTTGGCTGACTCTCTGATATCTAAATACAGTATTAACGTGGGAAACAACAAAACAAAAATCTAATAAAAAGATGGACAAGACTCCTCAACGATTCAGGAGGCAGTGATATAACCAAACAGTGGTGATTTCCTAAGATTCTGGGCAAGAACTTCCTTCTTCCTATTTCATATGCTTTGAGAATTCTAAAACTATGAAATATTACTTATGTAAATTTCAGCCATCTTTCTTCTTTGACCTCCTTTCTAACTAGCAGATACAAATTATAGGCTGCATTTCTCTGTCCATTATTTGTTGTAAAGAAAACATTTTTTTCAGCCAGGTGCAGAGGCTCACACCTTAGTCCCAGCACTTTGGGAGGCCGATGCGGGCAGATCACAGGGTCAAGAGATCAAGACCATCCTGGCCAACATGGTGAAACTCCGTCTCTACTAAAAATACAAAAATTAGCTGGGCATGCTGGCATGCGCCCGTAGTTCCAGCTACTCGGGAGGCTGAGGCAGGAGAATCACCTGAACCTGGGAGGTGGAGTTTGCAGTGAGCCGAGATTGCACCACTGCACTCCAGCCTGGTGACAGCAAGACTCTGTCTTAAAAAAAAAAAAAAGAAAAAAAGAAAACTTTTTTTTTTCAATTTAATTATGCTTGTTTCCATTTCATGGAAGCAATGAAAAATATAAAACTCCCTATTAACTGATTCTTGGGAACTTCCGGACACCAATGCTCAGGTTTAGCCTCTATAGCACAAAGGTGAGGTTTGATTCAGTAGGCCTTTCAAAGTCACATCTGTCCATTTCCTGCATATACCCACAAGCAGACACAAATGCCTGTAATGCTGAGAACCACACCTAACAAGAGGGCGATGGCATCACTGGATTCTTTTTGACAACAGGCAGCACCAAAAGCAGTGACATGAGGACAACAGTGTTGAAACTGAGGTCTTGATGTTGGAATCTTGAGGGCTGAAGGTTCCAAAGAAATGGTATAGATAGAATTCTATCTTATTTGAAATTTTCCCTTCCTGGAGCTCCGGATGCTGAGATTAAGAGGTTCCACCTAACTACCTTCAAGGAAGCAGCCATTACAGGAATCCATTCACCCGTCTTAAGTGCACGATTTTTGGTACATGTATAGGTGCAATCATCCCCACAATCCAGTTTGGAGGCATTTCCATCCCACCGAAAAAATCTTGAATACCTGTTTGCTATCAATCTCCTGGCCGGTTCCCACTTCTAGACCCAGGTTTGTCTATTTCAAGTGTTTTTACTAAGTCTAAAATGGCCTTACATATCCAAGATAACTCTCAACAGGAAGTCTGGACTAGGATGGCAATGACTATGAATATGAGGAATATATTCCATCTGTACACCAAAGTATGTCAAGGCTGGGTCTGTATGTGAAAAACTCCTTAATTCATTGCCTGGGCAAAAACACAGGTTGGCTGCCCTACGCAAAACTTATTTTCTAAACGGGGCAAAAACAGCGCGTGCCCTCATTCCTGGCACGCGTGCATCTGAGTAGGAGGTGAGCGCACAGCAGGTGCCAGAAATTTGATGAGTAATGTGCATCCGAGACAGGACCACCGCGCTGCCGTGTGCGCCTGCGCAGCTTCACAAGCGGCTAGACACTGGGAGCCCAACCCTTGGCTCCAGACCTGTCTGTTCGGCTGTTGTGGCGCCGCCGTTTGGGATCTGAGCGCCCACCCGTGACACCCAGAGAACACAGGCCTGGCAAGTAAACCCTCCACCCTCTCACTTTCCCTACCCAGAGCTCTCAAGGAGCACCAAGATGACGAGGCAGTGCGCATGGGGCAACAAGGAAGCTGCTCTCCACTTAGCCACATCCCTTTGGTCGCTAAAGAGCCTAGTCCCTGCCCCTCGGGCCAACGCCAGCAGCCACGTATCACGTTTGTAGGAATATCGGCCTAAAAGCGGAAGTTACGCAGGGACTCGCGAGCTCCGTGGCGGCCCTGAAAGGATATAGGCTGTGGAGGGAAGGGGGCGGGCAGACGGCATAGAAAGGCGCCGGAAGTGGTCTCGCAGAGGCGGGGTGGGAGTGGGATTGCCGAGGCAGTGCAGTTGACTGTAGGTAGGCGCCTCGGTTAGGTGTGCTGTGTCAGTCCTTTCCGAGTGCCTGGCCCCAGTCTCTCCCGCCTCGGCCCAACATGGACTTCAGAGAAATTCTCCTGATAGCTTCCAAGGGACAAGGTGTCAACAATGTGCCGGTAAGTAGCAGCTGGGGCGTCAATGTAGGGGACCCCAGTCTTCCAAGTTCGGAATGTGTGTGGCCCATGGAACTTCTAGGCAGCCGCCTATCGGTTCCGGGAGGGGAAAGACCAGGACGCGTTATTTCCTTTTTTGGGGGGCTTATACTCTTGGGAACTCGCGGGGGAAAGGGCTTGAACGAGATGCAGGAGCTTTCCTGTGAATGGGTTTCGCCGGCTTATTTACCCCTGCAACAGGGACTTTGCAGTTTGGGTGTTTTAGTTAGAATTGCGTGAAAGCGGTGAGTGAGCCGTGCCTGGCACGCAGTGGATTCTAGCGCAGGTAGTTTTTGGCTTCGGCGTAAACTTCAGCCCAAAGGTTGGGAAGGAAGCATGTGTGGAAGGGAGTTAAAGGCTTTGGGGTACTTGGCCTGATAGCCTTTTGGCTGGCTTCTCATCGATCTTCAGGTCAAACATTTAGTGATTTCTTGAAAGAATTCTCTGACTCGGCCCCACCCACTCAGCCACCGAGGTGATTAAATTATCACCTCCCAGGGGATGGGTATCTTGTTTGGGGAAGAGAAGTTTAGCAGATTCCACGAAATCCTTGGCCAACAGAACAGGTGAGCTAGTTTCAGCTTCCGTTTACTTGTAGCTTTCCAGATTTCAGTCTTTGTTTAAAATAGGTCCTATTTGCTCAGTAGATGTTTGTCAGTTCACTTACAGTCGCAAGAGCGGTGTAAGACTTAAATGCTAAAGTGGTGGAGAGCGCCTGGTTTCTGAGG